TATTGTCCTGGTTTTCGGGTAGGTATTGTGCGACACCATCGATTCCGGCGGATACGTTGGTAGTGGGCTCAACTGCAGGCGCTGACTCGTCCATGTCTACGTGATTTCCGTTGGTAGTGGGTTTTGATTGCGCGGTGGTATCGTCGATGGTGGTGGTCTTGGAGTCGGGTTCGTCAAAGAGTACATCGTGAACACTACTAGGTATTAGTAGGTTGCGCGAGGTGAGAGGAGGGGCGGGTGAAGGTGGAGGGAAGAGCGACTTACCCGTTTGCCTCGGTATCGACTGCCATTGCGTCTGCCGGCGCAAAAGCGCTCGCCTTAAGGTCCAGGGAGGATTTGTCGACAGTAGGTGATGTCATTACTGCCATGGGGCCATGAAAGTCAAAGACGGGTTTGCGCGCGGCTGACAGAGTATGTGGTGTGTTTGATGTTGTTGCTAATCTTGGTTCGTTAGCGACTTCCGCTTTAGGCACACGCGACTGCGCAAATATACGCGTGTTAATGACGGACACGGCAATGAGGGAGGGATGGGCGCGTTTGCGGTAAAGGTGGGGTCGCAAAGTGAGGCTAGCGTCGGTGCAGTGACGCGAGGGATGAGGAGGGGCAGCTGCGGACTATATGTTGCAGAGGCTGAAACGCACGTGACTACGTACCAGATGGTGGCGGCGGCGAGGTAGCAGGGCGGCGACGGCAGTCGGTGATGAGTCAGACTTTATAGCGCCGACGCGTTTGTTGTGGTGGGCCAAGCGCGTAGAGGAAGAGGCAATAACGGCGTGGTGCAGCTGTGCGCCCTCTCAAGATGTGCGACAACAACACAAACGTTGGTGATGTGGTGCACGGATGGTGACGGCGGCTTGGGAGCGCAGACGGCGGGCGGTGAGGGCTAGTGTGCAGCGGATGCGGATGCAGACAGACGGGGATGGATGCGCGTATTAATTATGTCGGGTGTAGTGGGTGCAGCCGCCTAGACTTGGGACGCGATATACTGGGCCTTGGGCGGGTGATGAGGTGTGGCGGGGGAGTGCGAGTAAGGTTGGGTGATCGGGAGCAGGCGCGTATTGATTGGAGGCAGATCAGGAAAATGGACTCAAGAACGTCGAAGACAGACGCGAGAGGAGAGGCATTGGGGTTAAGTAGCCCGGCCCTTCCATCTCCGAGCCAAGCCTCAGAGCAGCCCCTGAAGTGCACTAGCCTCGAAGGGAACGTGTCCTTGCCGACTTCTTGACTATGCGCGTCCGCAACGCCGCGTCTGGACATTGTTTACTGCTATTGTAGCATTCTTGCGATGCACTTGGACTGTCACGCTTCCTTGCCGATGAATCTGCTGTTGCAACGGGCGCCGTGAACGCGTCGCCTCGAGCTTGACAGCTCTACGCCATGATCCCTGTCCGCGAGGCCCGTGCGTGCAGAGGTGGGTAATTCGCTCTTCCCAAATTTTTTGCGACCACTCGCATCTTGCGCATTGCTTCAGGCTGCAACATCACAGCCTTGTACAAACTTCCGGTGAAGCCTTCGACACGCGCCGCCTGCGATTTATCAACACAACCGGTGCTCAAGAAAATGCCCGCCGCCGTAGCAACCCCGAAGAATCGCGACCGCCGGCCTGCGAAAAAACCCAAGTTGGCGCAATCGCCTGCGACAGTCCGCCAAAATGGTCTCAAAACTTTAGTAAATGGAAACGCGGCCAAGCCTACAGCGAAGATAAACGGTGTCAAGAATGCGCAGGCAGACCGAGTCGACGACGCCACTGCTGTTGTGGAAGGACCGGCCGATGCGCACATGGTGGACGCGGACGTCATAGAGATCAGCAGCGCCGAGGAAGAGAGCGATGACGACTCGGACAGCGCGCAAGAAGATCCCACACAGGCCAATGCTGAGAACGAAGCTGCTGCGGATGACGAGAATGGCGCGGAACCGGAGGAGCTCACATTCGGGGACCGATTACGCGCAGAAGGCCCTGAGCCTGTCCAAGAGTCGCGAATTATAAGCGTCGAAGATGCCTTCGACCCTAACCCAGAGCGCGCAGTAACTGCGACAAAGAACCGCACACTTGCACCACCAAATGCAAACTCTCTCGGCACCGTTCTCACTCAAGCCCTGCGCACCAACGACAAGGAGCTCCTCGATTCATGTCTTCAGGTGGTCGATGTAGAGTCGGTCTACGCTACCGTCGAAAGGTTGCCATCGCCGTTGGTTGGAACACTACTGCAGAGATTGGCTGAGAGGCTACACCGAAGTCCCGGTCGAGCAGGCATGTTGATGGCCTGGGTACAATGGAGTCTTGCCGTAAGCAGTCCGGCTCTGAATGGAAAAAGCATCGACTAACACTTACCTGATAGGCCCACGGAGGATACCTCGCTTCCCAGCCCCAAATCGTCAAGCAACTCACCGCACTGAACAAAGTTTTGAAAGAGCGCTCGAGCGGGCTGATGCCGCTCATGTCATTGAAGGGTCGCCTAGATATGCTACAAGCCCAACTTGACCTCAGGAAACGGAACCAAGCCGCCAACGACGATGCGGACGAAGCACTGGTATATGTCGAGGGACAGGACGATTACGTCTCTGATGACGAGTCGGTTGAGGGAGCCACTGCAACCCCGAAGCGATCGCGCCCGGAGATGGAGGAGGACGATGAAAGCTCGTCGGACGATATGGGCCCGAACATGGAGATGGATGACGTCTCCGACGAGGGTAGTGAAGGTTCTGACGAAGACCTTATCGACGATGAAGCAGAAGAGACGGATGATGACGAGGGCGAGGACATGTCAGAGCCTATGAGCGATGATCTGGATGACGGTGAATCCGAGAGCGGAGACGAATCGAAACCGGAGCGACGATCTACAGCTGCTCGGGCTGGACTCAAAAGCCGGCGCTGAGTGTTGAAGAGGAAGTTCGTAATTATTGTACAGTCTACGACGGCCCGCGAACCACACTACTTGGCGCGTCCGATCATCCAAAATTGGGATTCACGCATAGGCGTTCATTCATGGTGGCGTTGATACCGTACTTACGGCAATCTACACGAAGTTTAGATTTCTTCTACGTACCGCATTCCGGGAGTATCCCACGCATGACCAATGGAAGGTTGTTCCAGCTAATCAGGCTGTTTGTCGGTCTGAGACATGTCTTTCCCCTGTGGTCAGTTGGAGATATCCATATTGTGGGCTCTAATCTCATCTAGTCTGCACAACGTATTGCCCCCTCACCATACAATGTTTTCATCGCCGATCACATGACAGCGCTCTTGTTTATTCACAATCCAAATGCCGATCCTATATACCAAGAACACGCGTGTACACGCCAAAGTCTTCAGATCCAACGACGAATTGTCTGAACCAGGACCACATCAACACCTCACACGCAGGCCGACCGAAGAACCCTACACTCCTTTCCATTCTACCAATCCACAGTCTAAACCGCGGTCGAAGAAGGTCTATGCTACCATTAGATCGTGACGGCAATTTTTTAAAGCGCAACAGCCCTTATCCCATCCTACGCCGCACAGCTTCAGGCCATCTCTTCCAGCTTGGTACTCCGACAGTTCACGGACGTTAGTTACACAATTTGAGCTCCTCCCCAACGAATCCTGTGAACAGGTACTACACACCAACGCGTGTATTGCTAAGGCGTACGAATTAGCCGGACTATATCGCAACATTAGCATAGAGAAGAGAAGCGGACTATGGATCGCATTGCGGAATCTCAGCGGCGATACGAAATTTACAAGAAAGAAGCATGCGACGTCCGCCATGTGACTTCTTGTCACAATCTCAATGCCCATTATAAACGCGATGGAGGCGAGGGCGGAGGGCATTACTGTAAGATAGACGAGTTAAAGCGCTACGATTTGAATGACTACCATCGGAATGACCGTCTAGTACTCAGCGGCCTGACACACACAAAGTTGAGGAAGGATCCTGATCTGCGAGAGTGGCTTATTCCAGCTACTTCCTCGAGCGGCTCATCGGAGGGGACGGATGAGGACAACATGACTGACAACGAGGATATATGGTCGCAGGCAGGAAAGGATGAAGGAGAAGGAGGCTCTAAATGAAGATACCTGGGAGTGAGTCGCTGACCTATAGGACTGTTCGAAGGGGACATCTTCTTTCTGTTTTTGCATCTCTTTGCGCAGCATTTTTTCTGAACGCCCTGCGCTACACTTTATCTCCCTATTACAGCCTCGTTTCTCTACATTCATCGCGAGATCTTGATTGCTGATCAATCCTCCTTCGATCACCATCCAGCATGCATTCGATATTTCACCATTCTTCCAGCGTCAAACATGTACCTTTACAGTGTTGTTGCCCAAACATATCGGCCGCGCCTTTTCTCCGCACTTTGAGAGGAAGCTTCCGGTGAGCTACTCTCAACCGGATTGAGACATATCGCCTGCGACTAACATGCCATCTCTACCTTGGGGCTCGATGAGTGCCAGACAACGCAAGTTGAAAATCGAGAGGATGGAAGCTTGCGACGTTCCTCACAAATCGCGTGACGGAGATCTTCGGGCTACTTTTCGAGCAGACCAAAGTGAGAACGCCGCTGAGCCGACGGTGAATCCTGCTACATCTCCTGGGTCTGGCATTACAAATGCACGATTATCATCTCCTGCAACAATTCCTTCCGCGGCAGTCGATCGGTCGTCTCGTCGTCACGGAATAGTCGGCCTTGAGCAACTGTACGACAGGGAACATCTTCACCCAGCGCCTTTGCAGTCTCCAAGGTATACCGAGCCAGCACCAACAGACAGGTTTTCTAGGGACATCTTCGCCTGCCCACCATTCTCGACAAGAGAAGAATGGGAGGAAATCCGTGCAGAAATTCCAATGAGATTCGCAAATGCGGAAACGCTACCGCCAGCTCCAACGTCTGTTTCTTCAACAGCTCTCGTACAACAAGAAACACTTACCGTCTCACACGAAGCCCTGATAGATGAGGCTCCTGACATCAATCGCAGCAATCGAAGTTCCTATAGCTCACACGTTCGATCAATACAAATGCGTCGCAACCAGGTTTACCAACACGAGTATAGGCAAGGTTCCACTCGAACTGACTCTGTTACCGACTCAGACAACGGCGAAGCGCCCAAGAGACGAGAGCGCAAGTACACCGTAATCAACCAAACCACCAACACACGCTCTGTTATAAGCGACTGCGACACAGATACAGAAAGCCATACCACAGAATCGCCCGACAACCCAGCACCTGAATACATTGCTGTTCATCAAAAGGATAAACCACGCTCCGTTTTAAGCGATTGCTTCACAGACACAGATAGCAATACTACGGAAAAGCGGAACAGGCGAGGAGCTATAAAGGTCGCCTTCGGGCGAAACGATCAGCCACGACTTGTTCTAAGCGATTGCGACACCGAGAGCAAAGCAGGTAGCGATAGCACGGAAGTACCTGACAGATGGGGACTAGAATATACCGCTCCGTGGGACATCAACACACCACGATCTCCTTTAGACAACCATGCTACTGGTGTAGCTACCACACGAGCGCCCAACATAGGCAACAAGGTACCAATCAACAGCCGTCTGCTTCTCAAAAGAAGTTCCAAAGATCTCAGAAAGAGCACCCATCACTTGTCGACATGGAATGAGACCAAAATTCTACCTGAAATCACAGCATCAGGCCGGCATGGACTGCGCAAAGCCAAGTCGTGGTTTGCAGAGAAGATACAGGGCCGTAACGAGCCGCCTCCCAGTGCTGAAGAAGCTGCTAAGAGAAAAGAGGAAGCCGAGAAAGCGGCTGCTGCGGAGAAGTGGGCTAGAGAACGGATGGCTTTCGACCGAGTACAGGCTGATCTTGCATGTGTGACATTTGCTCTTGAAGAAGTCGCTAGCGATGCAGCGCTGAGGCAAATGGGTCCTGGAGCGATGCCTGGGTGCTGCGACCCGGAGTGTAAACTTGCTTGCTGTAGAAGGGGGAGATGATGGTGAGTGGGGGGTATCTCGATGTTGCGTTAGCTATCTATGTACGTCTGAAGCGGATATGGTCTTCCTGAAAGCTCGACAGTATGGCCATTTAGTCGAAGTGTTTATCTACACCGTCCAACAGTATATAATCACCACTGTTCACCCAGCTTACTATCATCACTTCTTTGTCTCCATACCAAATCTCATCACCGCTGTTATGTCTTTGTTCCGTCCACTGCCACACAACCACAATGTCCTTGTTCACTAACCAGTGCATCTCCAACGCTCAACCCTTTACTTATGTGATAAGCCTACTATGAAAGCCTTCAGGAAGAATGCAAGCCTCGCTGTCCTGTTACGCAGCACTCTTCGCCTACCGCTTCGCATCTCTCCGTTGGAAACCGACCACGAGAATATCCACGACCACATACATCACTCGCCATATCCCTGCGCTCTCTCCAGACCGAAAATTGTGTATAATGCCACGACGAAACCCCAATATGACGATTACCACGAATGCAGTCGTTAAGCAAACGTTTCTGCTTAGTTCAACACCTACAACAACAATCTTTTACGCGAGTGGTAATACCCTCCCTGTGTTCCCCGGCGCCCAAACATTCCTCTTCAGTCCGACGATAAGCATCAGTCCAACATCTTTCCGTACTGATTCGCCTGTTCTGCCACCTTCCCCACCATCTCCTGCGCTCACTCTTTTTCACGCTAATCATGTTCTTCGTACTTCGAGGTCTACAGAAGATTTGCCTGCGTATCCAATACCCCGCACTTTATGCGATGGTAGTACAAGCTCTCTTCATTCGTCTGATAGTTCATCTGGTGATTTGAACTCATCTAGCGCACGGGCAGCTGGAGATGAAGGCTGGGGGTCACAAACTACGCGGATGAGCGATATTTTGCCTGATGACTTGGATCTTTATGGTGAAGACGAAGAAGAGAACAAAGATGAAGACAGCTTGGATACGAGACCATTGAGTATCGCCCTTACTGATGCAGCTCAAGATGCTGTCCGTGAACAAGATGAGAAGATTCAGCACGTGGAAAACACGCAACAGACAGGACGCTCAGCGACTGAAGTAGGGCGGGAAATGAAAGCCCTGGGATTGGGACCAGAGGTTCAGGGTTCTTTGCCAGTCATTAGGGAGGGCGATTACCCTTACTATCCGCTGCCCTCTCATCGTCCACAGCCAAGGGTAAAGAGAGATGTCCAGTGGGTGGTTCCATTGAAGGGAGGAGGGGTAGCGAAGAGAAGTAGCAGTGACGGTGCTGGTTGCGGTAACCCTGTCAGAAACCTTCTGAGAAGGCTCTTCCGGAGAAGGCGGTGAAGTAGTGATTTCTAGTCAGTCAATAGATCTGGCAGACTCAACTCCATGAGAGCATTTCCTCCACGGCAATCTCATGACTGTCAGCGACAACTTTTCACTCAATCATTGCATATATCCATCACCTAACACCAGAACAGCATCACCAACAGCAAAGACATGTTCATAAAAAGCCACAACCGGGCTCAAACATCAATTCAAAAAGGTACTAAACAAAGAACGCAACCCTTTGGGTATCGCAACATCCGCAACCTCTCTTCCATCCCCTTCTCCATCCATCTCAAACCACCACTCCTATTACTCAATCTACAAGAAGAAAGCAGCAACGGCACCAACACCGGCGAGCGCGCCACCGACCTTGAGGCCAGAAGCGGCACCAGTGAACTCAGAGGGAGGAGGACCGGTCATGCTGCCAGTGGGGGCGGCAGTGCCGGTGGGCATGGCGTATCCGGTGCCGACGGAGGACGCATCGGGGACCATGGGGACGCCGGTGCCGCCCATGACGGGGGCGGAGGAGGGGGCCATGGGGGCGGTGGTGGGGTAGTAAGCGGAGCTCATGGAGGGAGCGACGGGGGTGTGCTGCATAGTCCTGGGTATGGTTGTGAGCATGAGATTGTATGATGAATAATGTGAGGAAGAAACGTACTCGGTGACAGTGACAGTGACGGCAGCAGAGCAGGACTCCTCAGCAGCGGGAGCACCGTACTGAGCAGCAACAGCTGCGACGAGCGAAGCGGCAATGATGGTGAAACGCATCTTGAATGTTGATAGAAGTTGGGAGAAGGTAAATTGGGTATAAGGCGTTAGGAGACGTAAAGTCGAGTCGTTGAGTGATTGGTGGTAGTAAAGACTGTGAGTTTGACTTGGCTTGCAAGAAAAAAATGAGTGGCTAATAGAACACTAGGTACTATAGATTATGTTTGGATCGTAGGATGATGAGAGAAGAAGAGTAGTAGGAGGGATATGAGGCGGTCCAATGGGTCTTATACAGCCCTCTTATTAGTAGTCATATGACAGGTGATGGGGTGGGTGGAGGACGCGCCAGCCTTGCCCATCGATCGACTGAGTTGGTTCATTTCCTCGCGGGCGATGGTCTAGATTGGTTGGGTCATCCTTGCATGTCAGGTGTGGCGAGCATGCTGGATTGCTCACAGGTTGGGGTGGGCGATAGCGGAAATTGTGTTTGTTGATCGACGGTTGGTAGGTGCGCATCATGAGGTTTGCAAAAGCCTTGCAATTGCCGCGGTGAATGTGGGGGAGTGTTGCGCGTCATGCTGGGCTTTTTGTGTTTCGCGCGCCTCGTTACGATTGTTCAGACTGCTTTTGCTGTTACAAAGGCGTTGAGTTCTATTTCCATCGCAGCACGCGACATCTCGAGGACGAGTTGTTTCGAAACATCCCTAATCACAGCTTCCAACCAAAAATGCGGCCTGCATATTAAGGTCATTTTGATAGGAACGGCTCAATATTAGCACGCGGCGCCTTCCACCGTTCTGAGACGCCGGTGGGCGGACCCCTGACCCTAGCCGTGATGGGGCTAGGCTATCACCTCGATCATGAATGTTCCCGTCGACGAGGAAATGTACCTGTCGATCTTGCTGCTCATCCTCGCCCATCGCTGCTTTTGCGTTTGATGAGAGCGCGCGCGGATAGGGGTCTGCAGACGTCATACCCCGAGAAAGTCAGCAGTACGATGCGATTGTACACATTTCGCTCAGTGAACATGATGTGAGAAAGTTCGTATTCGCTAATCTAATGACGAGTAGAAATCCGGGGTATATCGTGTTGCTCTAGAGTCGTTAGTGATGCCGCGTTGCCGGCGATTGCAACACTGACCCCATATTACACACCTCCAACGCCAGACATGCCTTCAAGTCAACCAAGAAAAATCTAAACAGACCTGCAGCCTACATTAATATGAAAACCTACCAGATAGGTGACCTGGCGTCGATGTAGGCACTATACCTGTTCAGTTTTTTTCTTGTATGAGGTGCCTTCTCCGAAATTGATATGTGCCAAATCGAGCCTTACTTCACCCTGCCCATGATTGGATCAGGAGGCGCATCGTCTGCTATAGGTTCTGCGGCCTTTGCTTTAACCGCGTTCAACATGCCCCGGTCAAAGTCATCCCTTGTTCTCAAAACAGCTTCCACCCATGTAATACTAACATCCCGATAAGCATTCTTGAACTCCACATACGCAAACTGCACCTGCGACTTGTCGCATTCCAGCAGCTTGAGGAACTGTTGCACAGCGCGCCATCGGTCCTTGATATCGCGACCTTGCTCACCAAACGACACAAACCACTCGAACGCTGTGTAAAGGTCGTCTTTCATCTTGTCTGCAAACTGATCCGTCCTCTTGAACTTGGCACCCTTGTTGCGCACAGCCCCGAGATATTGAACCAGCAGCTCGTCAGCGAGAGAATCGATGATAAGATCCTGTAGCGAGCGGTGGATCCTAGGGAGAAACTCATCCACGTAGTCTTTAAACGTTGTGATGATCGATGCCATATCCTGCCTCGAGTACCACTCGACGGTGAAGAATTTGGAAAGCACAGGCTTAAGATCGACCATGAAGATGAGCTCGCTAAAGACTTGTATGCAGTGCGATGAAATGTCAATATAGCCGTTCTTGGCCTCGTCTACATTCTTGGCCAGCTTGTCGATCATGTAATCCTGGGAGACGATAGGCGTGACTTCACGCTCAAAGACGCTCAGGAAGGAGGCTTGACCACTGCCGTCAATGTCATCGTCAATGCAGATGATCTGGTCGTTTGCAAGAGCGATGAGCCACTCCTGCAAGACATATATATCATCTTCATCTTGCGCGGGAGTAGGTCCGAGGTATTTGGCCTTTTCTTCGTCGATCAGTTGCGTCCATATACGCTGGCGAGACAATAGGGCACGGAACATGGAGTCGACTACACCATCAGCAACGTCGGGACGCTGACTACTGGCAGCGACACCGATGTTCTGGCTGAAAAGCGTCCAGACGTCTCCAAGAGCCTTCGTTTGGAGGATACCGTCAAAGTTGGTCTCATATGCAGTTTTGTCTTGCTGCACGAACCTCTGCCTATCCTGTGTATTGATGCGTTCCATGTATTGATCCACAGCCTGGATGATAACGGAGCGGTAGGTACGTATCAGCTCGGGACTGCGGTTGTCGATGACATGTGGCTGTAGTTGCTCTTCCGAGTACCCAAGCTTCTGCATCTTGACGTAGTACTTGTCCACCCAGTTGATGACAGCCAGCAGGTATTGCGGCCCAAGAGCTTCGTCATCGGCAAACTCCATGAGGAAGTCGTGCATCTGCTTGTGGTAGATATTGGTGTATGTGTCAAAGATCTTCCACTTCTTCGGCATGAGCTCGACCATACCCAGCTTGACTGTGTTCAGGTTGTTGAAATACCACTTGAAGTACTTTTCGACTTTCTCGGGGTCTTCTTGGAATTGTTCTCTCACTCCGTCCATCTCTGCCTTGCAAACATATTCGATGGAGGTAATGAACTTCTCCTTGTAGCCGCGAAGCTCCTTGGGCCCTTGTGTGATGGACTTGAAGCGAGAAGCGAGATCTCCGAACTCTCTCTGCGCATCTTGCAGCGCTTTGATCTTCTTGTCCGTCTTCTCTTCTTCCTCAATCACGACGGCCAAGCGGACCACCATGCCTACGTTGTCGGTCTGCACCAACTGTATGAGGTTTATGCACGCCTCGCCGATATGCCTGTCAAACCACTCTACGACATCGTCCAAGCGCGCGAAGAGGTCCTGCACCGTGATACCACTCTCTAGTGTGAGGTTATCGATGAGTTCGGTGGAAGAGTCGCTGTTCTTGATCTGGCCCATGGCTTCGTCGCGGATGTCTCGTAGTTGGGTCAGACCGTAGTGTACTTGTAGCAGGTTCGGCTGGTTCGCAGGGTCTTCGTCGTCCTGTGCCAGCAGGATCTCGAGGTTCTCCAGGCGCTCCTCAAAGGCCTCGATGTCATTGCGCATCTTCTCCACCGATTCAAAGTTCTTGTGTGTTTGCGCAACCAGGTTGATGTGCGGGAAGTCCTGAATCATATTCTGGGCCTCGGCGCATAGCTTGTCTATCTTCATCATCTCCTCTTTGATCAGGTTGACGGTGCGCTGGCCCTCGGTGATGCTGCTCATGCCCGACTGGGTCAACTCGAGCTGCTCTTTCAGCCCATGTCGGAGTTGGCCATCTATCAAGCTGTTAGCACGAATAATAAGATGTCTTAGAACCGCGCTGGCAAAGCATAGCAAGGGAGCTACATACTAGTAATAAGTTAGCAAGATATCTTGAAAGCTGTTCGTGGCGGCTACTTTACCCTACAGCAGCCTTCTTGCGCATAAACTCGGCTTTCAGCGCCGGTATCTTGTCGAGGTCCTCTGGGTGTCGCAGCAGCTCTGCGAGCTTCACCGTGGCGGACTCGACGTCGCCCATGGTTCTAGACGTGCTGAACACCCTAGAGCCTACGTTGACGTTAGATCACCCACTTTGAAGGTTTTTGTCTTGATGTAGTCTGCAAACCTGTTCAGTTTTTTTCGTGTATCAGGTGCGCGCCCATGGTAGGGTGCAGATGGAAGTCGCGGACGGGGTAGGCGGGCGGCCTCGACGTTACGGTACGTGTTCGGAGCTTCTGGTGATGTGAATGGACGGGCGGATCAATGCAGGTCCATGGCTAGCGTGCCGGCCAAAGGTTCCCACCCCGCCACTTCCTCGCGCTGTCGCCGACAAACTCAATCGCTCTTTCCACGCGCACACCTACCCAACATGGCCGACGAAGAACTCAACCTCTACGACGAGATCGAAATCGAAGACTGCTTCTATGACGAGACGCTGCAAATCTACCACCACCCGTGCCCATGCGGCGACCGTTTTGAGATCTCCATCTACGACATGCGCGACGGAGAGGACATAGCGCGTTGTCCCAGTTGTAGTCTGATGATACGCATTATCTTCGACCCGGTATGTCCTCTACTCAGTACATGGCGAGACTTGAGCACTGACATGTTGCAGTCCGATCTCCCACCAGAGAACGACGATGCACCCAAGAGCGTCGCGATTACCGCCTAGGTTCCTCGACTATCATTTCATACCACCTTACGAGGTTCCATACCATGTCTCCCAGTATCTACGGCGTTAGAATGCATATATCGGCGTTTGGGGGAAGTTGGCTATACAACGTGGTCGCAGTCTGGCAAAGACCAGAGATATACCACATGGGATGTTTGGGGAAGCAGAGTTGGGAATGCGCAATCATAAATTGTTGTCGCTTTTCGCTGTTTGCTACCGTATCATCGTGTATACTCTCCTGGCCAGAAGAGACTATCTGTCCAAATGTGCTCTGCGACGGGACGACGTACTAGAGCATGTGCTACAGACCATAGCCCACTCCATTAACGCGGGACCTGGTCATCTACACTGACGTCAACGCCCAGCTCTTTCCTGAGAATCTCAGTGAGCGAGCTGCCGTCCCTCATGTATACCCAGTCGCCGATGCCACCGCCCTCCTTGAAGTCCATGCCCTCTTGTGCGACGACCCAGTCGAATCGCTTCGGTCCGGAGATTGGGGAACTGAGCCAGATCTGCTTGTTCGGGGGTTGTTTGTTCAGTACGAATGTGTTCTCTTGGAAAGTGACTTCGAGCACGCCAGCCTGCAACCGAATTAGTATCCAATCTGAGTTCTGCTGCGTAATCGTGACTTACGGAGTAGTCTACTTCGATGGCTGGGTCATTCTCCTGAGCCTCCTCTAACCTCTGTACCAGCTCGCCCAGGTAGTAGTCTGCGCGCTCGTGGAATTCTTCTATTGAGAGCTCCGTGGGTTTGCCAGGTTCGTCGTGGGCTTCACTCTCCTTGGGCTTCGGGTCCTCCTCACCAGGCATAATACCCACCCTCATGCCCATTGACACGTGGAAGCTGCGAACGGGGGTAGCATGGCTGATGGCAGGAGCTCGGCTGGCGATGATGCAATTGGCGGGCGACTGGACGCGGAGGGAAGATCGGGCGGCGCGACGAACGGCGGTGCTGACGAATCGAGTAGCTGGCTTCATTGTGACTGGATTGGATGGGTTGGTGCACTTGAGAGGATTGTTGGTGGTGGAAGTTGCGGAGCAGCGGGAGAGTCTTCTGTTCCTGGGCTGGACGCAAGCTGGAGGAGCATGGACCCTCGCGCGCCTCCCCGCATCCTTCGGTGGGACATGTCCAACGCCAGTGTGCGCCTCACCACCACCTATCCACACCATGATCAACGCCGTCCTCGTCTTCAACAATGCCGGCCAGCCGCGACTGACCAAGTTCTACACACAGCTGGTACATTACACGTGACCTGACATTGCGCTCCAGGGCTCCCGCACTCACCACCGTCCAGGAAACCAGCGTCCAGCAGCGCCTCATCTCCGAGATCTTCACCCTCGTCGCCAACCGCCCAAACTCAGCATGTAACTTCCTACCGTATGTCTTGTCATAGTCTCACTCCATGCTGTTCCTAATGCACGTCTAGCCTTCCACCGCTCCTTGCCAGCAGCTCCAAATCCAGCACGCCCACGACTCCCCACAACGACACACCTTCCCTCGTCACCTACCGCCACTACGCGACCCTCTACTTCATCGTCATATCTACATCCACCGAATCACCTCTCGCGCTTCTCGATCTCATCCAGGTCTTCGTCCAAGCGCTCGATGGTCTTTTCGAAAACGTTTGCGAGCTGGATCTGATCTTCAACTTCGAGACATTACATGCGACACTGGGTGAGATGATAGTGGGCGGAGTCGTGGTCGAGACGCAGTTGGACAAAGTCATTCAAGGCGTCAAGGCACAGGGAAGAGTCGCCAAGAGACCTGTCAACGAAGGCAAGAACATTGGCGGCGGTGGCGGCGGCGGTGTTATGGGCGGACTGACCTTCGGCGGTCTAGGAAGGGGCGATGGCATGTGGGCTGGAAGATGAAGAAGAGAGTTCGAGGTCAAGATCCGCGAAGCCAGAAGCGTCGCGCTCGAAGCGTTGGGCGCCCCGAACAGCCCAACCGCTTACACAGCCTCGATAGTTCAAGAGCAACGACCCAACGGCGAAACCAGAGCTCACCAAGCGCACCGGCCGCCTCGACGTCTAGATCTGGACCCGGCGCATCAGCATGGCACCCACAGTCAGTATCGTGTCAGACTCCTCGGCACTACTCAACCCCCCTCATACTGTCCGCACAGGCTCGGCGGACTCGCAAACAATTCTTCCATGTCGCATGCGACCTCTATACATATAGCGCGCCTGTTTGCCTGTCCTGTGGGGTTACTGTTGTAAATTTCCCCGGACCGGGTAAACACATGGTAAAGGTCAAGCGTCGGTATATGTTCGAAACGTCGCGCCTGGAACCAATGCCGAGCTAGGATTAATGGAAACAAGCTTTTAATTTACCGCTCACTAGTTCGTTCCAAGTCCCACTGGAGGGCGAATGACAACTGTCAGCCCTTCATCTACGTTGTGGCGCCGAAGATGTGGGGAGAAACACTTTAGTCGAGAACTGCGTGACCTCATCTCCGCTACTGCTGATTGCTGGATAGTTTCGGGGAGATCGTTTCAATGCAGACCGCATCCCTTGAACCGCACGCACGCTCCGGCTGAAGACAAGCTTTATAAGAAGGTCTGTATCCCAAGACTCTTGGATTCCCCACCGCGTTCATTCATTCCAAGTCAACACCATGCGCTTCCTCACTGCTGTCACCAGCTTCCTATCCGTAGCTGCGGCTGCAACCACTGACATCGCCAAGCGTGCCGTGACACCTGGCGCTCTCTCCCAGGTCACCTCCTTTGGTGCTGCGCCCACCAAGGCTGGCTTCTACATCTACGTGCCTAAGAAGCTTGCGGCGTCGCCAGGAGTTATTGTCGCTATCCACTACTGCACTGGTACCGCACAGGCATACTACACCGGTAGCCCTTACGCCAAGTTGTCTGAGCAGTATGGCTTCATTGTCATCTACCCAGAGTCCCCTCACGAGGGCAAGTGCTGGGATGTCAGCAGCAAGGCCACTCTGAGCCACGAGGGAGGAGGAGACAGCAACACCATTGCCAACATGGTCAAGTGGACAGTCAAGCAGTACAAGGCCGACTCGTCCAAGGTCTTCGTTACCGGTTCCAGCAGTGGCGCCATGATGACCGTACGTTTGATGGAGTCCTGATCATGTCATAATTGCTAACCCCCTTCAGAACGTCATGGCCGCTACCTACCCTGACATCTTCAAGGCCGCCATCCCCTACTCCGGTGTCGCTGCCGGTTGCTTCGCCTCCGCCGCCAACGGAGTCGACGCCTGGAACAGCACCTGCGCCCAGGGTAACTCCATCGCCACTCCCCAAGCCTGGGCCACCGTGGTCAAGAACATGTACCCCAGCTACACTGGTGCCCGCCCCAAGATGCAGGTCTACCACGGCAGCGCCGACACCACTCTGCGCCCCCAGAACTACCAGGAGACCATGAAGGAATGGGTAAGTCTCACGATCTAAGTTCTCGAGTGATCACGTGCTAACGGTGTATAGGCTGCCGTTTTCGGCTACAACTACGACAAGCCCCAGAGCACCAAGGCCAACGACCCCCAGAGCGGATACACCAGGACCGTCTACGGTCCCAACGTCGAGGGTATCTACGCTGCTGGTGTCGGCCACACCGTTCCCATTCGGGGTGCCGACGACATGAAGTTCTTCGGCTTTGCTTAGACGCATCGAAAATGAAGAGCTACCATACACTACAGCCAAGCCTCATGGCAGTCACCAACAAGTCAATGTACATATTCGTGACTACACACATCACACTGCATTCTCACCGTGTTTACTTTTACATTTATTTCATTGCTGACCTACCATGTTCTACGTTTTTTCTTCTTTTCTGGCACTTGGGTAGCTTCTACGCTCTTGCTCCGGCGATGGCGAGACCAGAAACTCCTTCGCTTCGGGGACTTGTCATCGGTATCGTTGAGATTGTCCCAGCTGAACTTGCTTTGAAGCTGTGGTGTCGGCTCACACACAGTCTTTTCCTCGAATCCGCTGTCACGTCGCTCAGGAGGCGGTAGCGAAGGCTTGTAAGGCGGTAGGGGCTTAGTATCAGTATACGTACCTGGATGCACATGTCGCGATGCGTGGATGTCAGAAGGATGCTGATCTTCATCATACATCCTTTCAAACTTCCGCATCTCCTCGTTGAACTCGGCGATATACCGAGCCGGAATGGGTTCCTCATCCGAGTCCTCGTCTTCGTCCGGCCTAGTCCAAGATCCCTGTGGGTTATCAAGTGCCCGCATCCTATCAAACCCCTCATCAGTGAAATCAAATCCCACTCCCAGCGCCGCACGCGTAGCAAACTTCGCGGCAGATATCTCCGCCCGGCGCTCACGGCTCAAATTACCTTGCTTTTGGTACGGCGTCTTTGGTATCGTGTTTCGGGTCGAGGAGAGAGAGGGTTGTGCGAAATGCGCTTCTAGGCGAGAGCGATGTTGTTGCTTGACTAGGTAGCGGTATTCGTCATTTGGGAGGTAGTCTGGAGGTATGGACGGCCGGTAGTGGAGTGCGGGGTGGTATGTTGGGGATGATGTGGATGTGGGGTAGTATGCTGGTGGGGTGAAGGTGTAGGAAAGTGGAGACGCCATTCTTAGGTAATCCTTTTGTAGTTGGGAGATTGGTTGTGGTGATGAAGGCGTTTGGTTCTGTTGTTAGTTTTGTCTGGGATGTGCGGTTCAAATTGAGAGACATGTCTATGGGCGGGCATGGGACGTGTTATGTGTGTATATTGCTGTTGTGGCATGACTCGAGTCTCGTTGAGAAAGTACTATGTGGGGTTTGGGTGAATGTTCGGGGAGGGTGGTGGAAGATGGAATGATACTGTACACACTCACGGGAGTGTTCTCTGGGGTGGCTTATTTGTTTGATGATCGAAAGCCGCATTTCTACGTCAATGGGTCACAAACAATATCGAGTTCCCAGTTTGCTTCTATCGAAGTCTCACGAGTTGCGTCTCTGTGGACGACTAGTACCTATGAATAAACCAGCCCCATTGTGGTGTACCCGGCTTTCGAACTTTCGGTATCTGTAGAGATGATGATCTGTGTCTTCCCTCATGATTTGGTTGTTATTCGATTTTGTACGCAATGCGCATGAGGCTAGCGAAGCACAAGGAAGTCGTGGAGCTTGACAGCAATGACGTCATCGCCCTTTCCCAACCTCCCGAGGTCATCGATCAAAGCGGCGCCAAATTTCAGCTTTCAGGTTATTTCCTGCACTTCATACTGCGAACTCGAATCGCTCAGCATTAGATATACGCAAAGATGGCTGCCCGCGTCCATGAAGGTTCTCGCATCTTGTTATGGGTATGCAATATTCCACGGTGGCGATGAGGGCTAAATTTCGGCTGTATCGGCGATCTGTTGCTTGACAACATCACCTGTGACAAGGTGCGCAATGCTTGTTTAAGCATCGTTACTTATCCAGCGGTTCTCACTGCACTAGAGTATTTCGACCAAAGCACAACAAGATTGAGCATGGCATCCTCAGCAATCAATGGAGATCGAGCGCTAGATCTCACAGAGGCCGTTGTCACACTTCAGCAAACGACAAGGAAATTTATCGCAGACACCAGAGCAGGGCGTGAGGGGTTCGTTTTAAGACCCTTCTCTTCCGCTGATGATGAGAACGTCACGGGAAATATGCTTATCATAACCTCGCCTGACAAAGAGATCAAGACTCACCTGGAAGCTCTGGAAATGCAACTACGGGTGTTGGAACAACGATTGCGATCACGAGGAGACTGGCATTCATCAGATCAATTACTCAATATATCACTACCAACTATCCTCGACATCATCGACCTCTCAAACGCGATCACGCTGCTCGACCAATTGATCACCTCTACAAGCCCCGGTGAACAGACTACCCCACAGCAGACCTTGTCAGCGTATTCTTGGACTTGGGATCCTGCCTGGCATGAGTTCTACACATACATACCCTCTCAGCAAACATACCTTTATCTTTCGCGCTGGAAGTTGAATGAGATCAGGAACGTTTGGGAGCATGTGAGCATGGCTGGTGTAAATCTGATGCCGGATGTCGCGGTAGAAATGCTAGGTGCGTGGGAAGACTGGACCTGGGATTCAACGTGGAAACAGTGGTACCTGGACGTCGCCGAAAACGACACCGAGGAAAAGAGTCAAATTTTCGCAAGCCCATGGCGTGTACAAGGAGATGGTGAATGGGTCTATGTTGGCAGGATAGGCGGCGTCCACTAAGAAGAGTTGACGATTTGGTATCAAAACGACACCCTGAACGATACCGAAGTATCCTCAACGATGTACAGGCTGTTAAACACCCAGTCACTTCGGCAGTGTGCGTGAAAGGCGCATGTGAGACCTCAGAATCAGACATCATGTGCCAGACAAAGCGCGCATGTTCTACCCGCACAATGTGGTATCAGTACTATATCCCAGCGTTCACCCGCCTATTCACCATTCTCAGACGGCGTGAATACATGTTCCAAGAACGGGGATAAAGGACGATGAACGGTCGAGCAAACACACGCGTGGTTACACGGACCGAAACATATGCGACACTCCAACCCACAGCGCAAGAGGACTACTTCTCTTATCACCCGAAGACCAATCCTCGTAGCAAACCGGTCCTTCAGCGTCCGCATATTCCGACTCCACTGCATGTAAGCTACACGAACTGTTCGCCGCTCGCTGCAGGCCCGGCAGGATGGAAGTATACGCCGTTATCTGCGCGCACTCCTGGACTTGAGTCGTTTCGTCACGATCACGGGGTAAAATTCAGGACACGTCTTTCATTTCGAGCTGTTCTGCTGAATTGCCGTTGGGATTTGTTGTGGGACGAGGATGAGATGCCGGCCAGGGTGATCGGTCGCTGTCAAATGTACATCGACGAAAAGTACGAGTCTGTTGAATGGAGACTGGCGAAATGCGGACGAGTTTTGTGTGGGTTCTTAGGTTGGCCTTGGCGGAAGCTATCCTATCGGCGGCTGACATTGGAGGAGGTAGATGAGCTTCTTCCAAGTTTCTATCGCGACGATCTTGAGTCTGGGCTTTCGCATGATATAGAAGATGTTCAGGCTTTCGTTAACCATGCAGTTTAGCATGCACTGCAAGTGGACGTGCGCGATGTATTGTCTCTTTACCATTAGCAGGTGCATGCAAGGTACATCTTACACGATTGCTCAATCAAATATAAAGGACGCTGTCAATCCTCAAAATGTTGTTTGATACTCAACGCGCAGTGGCTGGTTCTAATTTTCGAAAGCTTGTTGCGAGAGGGACGGAAAGGGGAAGGTGCTTCTCGCGGCTATGACGTAAGCTCTCACTAGCGCCTAACAGGACAGCCCCGATGCACGCGTCCCAGCCTCCTTCTATGACCCTCATCTCAGCATCAATATACCATCCTCCTGACCACGTATTTCATCGTCGTCGCGCACGAATCCTCTGCGATCAGGGCGCAATACCGGTAATGAAGATCTCCGACTTATCAGACAGTGACTCATCCTCAATATCCATCCCTACTTCCGGGCGTCCGCGAGACGCGTCTGGTCGACAGGAGCAATTTCCAGAGAGTCAGCCATGTCACCATACCCATGATCATGTGTCAAGCATCAATAACTATCAGATGCCTTCGCGCGTGATCAGCAGGCGCCACTGATTTTGGGCAATATTGAATCGAGGCAACTACCGGCATGGTTAATCACCAGAGATTCGCCCTCGATATTGGAAGCCCTCTCACCAGCTGCACCCCACAATGCGCTTTCACGGAAATGTGTCATGCAGGGGCTGGCTCACATGCTGATAAACTGCGAGACGATAGAACCATATCCTTACACTCACATTGGTCTGGCTCGCAACTCATCATACGGCGCCATGTTAACTCTCCTTGCAATCGTACTATTTGTACCGTCTATGAACGCGCTACTGCACCATCTCGCAGTTGGCACTACGAATGGGCAGGCGTTGTACTCGCTGGAGACGGACGATGAATCCAGGAGAGTGTATACGATTACGGCAAGAGACGCAGGTGGAGCATCGCCGTCTTTGGCGCTCGACGTACGTGAATTAATCCTCAGTAAAGATCATTCCCGTTGACATATTCGGTAGCGCTCGAAGCAGCACCTGTTCAGCAGTCGTCCGCAGGATGGAACCCTGACCCGCCACTCGATTGCGCCTACATACGAACTCATCAGCGAAGGCACTATGGAGATACCCTCATCATGTTGGTTTTCATTATGGCATCCGCATGCTCCTTCTGACGAATTTAGGCAATACTACGAACTTCCTGTCCCTAAAGCTAGGATCTTCCGTGCACAACACTGCTATATGGGGCAGTGCTAGCACAGGAACTTGCAGTATCGTCTTTGGAGTGTCGCCAGACGGTTATGATACTATTAACTCCCAAGAGATCGCCGGAGACGTACACTCTATTGCATGGGCTCCCAATGGGCGTAACTTGCACGCATTGGACTCACACTCTTCCGGAAGTCTCTTGACGTCAATTACGAACTTCCGTATGTCCGAAGACCCGAATTTGCAGGACGTGGTGGGTATTAATTTCCTTGGTAATGTCACAAGCGCTTCACAAATCGTCGCCCATCCCAGCGAAACCTTAATGTACATCGTCACTAAGGACTCAAACGAGCTGATTGTCGTTTCTTTGGCAGGTGACACCCTCGTGAGCAATTCTACTCCTGTCCTGCGATATAGAATGCTTCCTACTTCTTTGGATGCGACACAGTTTCAATCGTCATCTCTAGCTATTTCTGCGTCTCGAAACACATTGTGGACACTTTCGCAGTCTTCGCTTCAAGCAGTCATTACGGCCTTTACCCTCAATGTCACAACCGGCGAGGTGGTAGATGTCGCTGCCCGAGCGAGCTGGCAGGGAACTGGCGAAGGCCAGCTTACGGCAGCGCCTTTTGATGGTGGCGATGTAGTCGCTATCACAGACTCTCCGACGGGATACATCACTATACTCGGTCTCGACCATTCCACATTGCCAAGCGCCCGCATAGCCGAGGATTTTGGCCTTCACGACTATTTGTATGCCATGCAAGTTGATGAGAGGAAACGCAAAGACATACGAATGGCTGCACCGAAGATCAAGAGCTATGGCCGGGTTCTGGTTGACGATCACATCAACTTAGGCGACTGTGCGTGGATCGATTGAGAATATCCAAGTTCCCTACGTTTCAGTACAGGCAATGTCTTGTTCTCAAACAATGAGCCTTTGATAGCCCCGTCTCCACAAAGCCACTACCGGTCATCAGTTTTACACTCGCATCCTTTGTTTGTTAATCGAATTACATCAAGCTCTTCTGAAGTAGCGGTGCGATGCGATTTCCCAGTCTGAACGGACATTACATATCTATACAACCCGTATTCAAGCACTTGAAGACTTTTTTATATGCCGTATGTTCACATAATAGCGTCATAACATCACTAATGCTTGCAGTCCTAAGCGCCGCCGCGAAGCCGAGACTGCGGCTACTCGCCGAGTACGCGCCAGAAGAGCAGCGGCTGCCGCAGCAGCTACCGTAGTGAACGCCACCAATCCGCTTCTCAGATTTCCGGGAGGTTAGTGAGACGTCTTCTGCAACACGCACGAGTGCTAAAATCATGCAGAAATTAGGAACAGAATCTATCAACTCGTCTTCGATCACTTTATAGCAACTCATCGACCATATATGATCACTCGCAGGGGAGTAGATCCTCACGGCCCTCCCACCGCTCGAATACGTAGATGTCGATATCCGCTGGTTATGAGCGCGCCGAACGGCTTCAATGTCATTCCATGGGCAGACACTGATCCATTGCGGCGTGTCAACGCAGCCACTCAAGCTGCGATACATGATGGGTACTGTGCCATGAAGACAGATTTACTGGCCATTGGGCAAGTATCACGTCAGTTTATGCGTGGTAGGTGTGATGTTCATTACAGTGTGCGAATAAACACTGATCTTACATCGCGACATTTACAGAGTACCGATCCTTCCAGCGCGCTCGCCTCCAACCTTTCGTCACTCTCGATGAGTTTTGGAACTTCGTTCAAATTTTCTACCCGAGCGAAGACCCAGCAGTCGCTAGGAACTATCGTGGTCAGCCCATCACGCTTGCACTACCACGCCATTCCCACCAGATGTATGACATAATGCCACTCTTACGATTCTTCAACCGCGCGCCGTATTTGGAATGCAACATATGGGTTGCTGGCAATGGGGACCAATACAAAATGATCGCACAATCTCTGCGCCAGTACATCTTTCCACCGCGGGGAGACGCCCTAACCATTTCGAAGTTCATGTTCCGTACGTACGGAAGACGAAGGGTTTATGAGGGTAACCTTGATAATTACCATGATATATGGTATTGTGCAGCTTTCAAGGTGATGTTTGATCCTATGTCGCGTCGAGACTGGATGGACGGAAACTTGATAAGCTTCCCCGCTAACCCGCAACGAGCTCTCGCGCGCATGAACAAAGAAAGAACAAGAAGGCAAGATGTTCTGGAATTCCTCGAGGCCGCTGGATTGGACAGTATTAAGGCAAGATGGGAAATGCGTTTCGCCGTATTGGGATAGCGCCGACCATGAAGCTGGTGGCAACGCCCGTGGACATCTTCACTTGCGGACATTCAATCTTATCACAGCCACTCCGATCCGAATCCGCCCAAGCCCTGTTGTCTCCATAGGACGACCGGAGAATCACGCAATGAATCTCATGCAGCTACGAGCGTGAGAGTCCGCATCTGGGCAAATAATTCACTACCTAGGGATATGCTCCAACAAAACCCCTGCCCGCTTTCTCGAAAGGTAGTCACATTCATTATGATCATTCTAGCTCTCTACTATAATTGGCGTGACCACCCGAGCTTCAGATCCCTCTCGTTTCCGCACGTCGATTATAGCCAACACCACCCGCGGTACTCAATTCCACTATCGACTTTCAGAGGAACGCGCTCTGTTTGCTTCACTATGCCGTAAGTACAATACACCCAAGACCACGTTAACCAAGAAAAGCTAAACAGGTCTGCAGCCTACATTAACATAGAAGCATGCAAAGTAGGTAACTTAACGTTGATGTAGGCTCTACACCTGTTTAGCTTTTTTTGTATGAGGTGAGACTACTGTAACAGTAGTTAATAGTGGCCAGGGGCAAGCGTAAGGCTACCAAAGCGCTCGTCAATCCCCACATCAAGCGATGTCGTGCAGCAGACCGCAAAAAATCTCCCAGGACGGTCGATGTATCCCAAGTAGGGGCGAGTTCGCAAGCGCCTAATACGAGCAGTCAAGCTGAAGCAGCTAAAGCGAACAAGGGCAACAGACTGCTGTCTCTACCAGCAGGTAGGTCATATGGTTCAAGAGCGTCACAGCCTACATGGATCTAATCAGTATACAGAACTACGGAACAATATCTACCGATGTGCTGTTGAAGAATGGAAGGCAGAGTGGGGATCGTACAAGCAGGATGAGCTCGCTCCACTATTCGGAGAAAATACGGATGACGCACCTGAAATGGCTCCCCTCAGCCTCTATCCGCCTCTTCCAAATGAAGCCGCACGCGCGCAGTTCCGCTGCATGAAGGAGGACTGCAATGCTCTTGGCCAAGTCTGCCACCTCCTACGCTCGGAATGTCCTTCGCTGCGAAACAGTCTCACTCATGCCTACGTTTCGGTACAATATCTCAGACGGTATCTTGAAACATTCCTCGACCGCTCAGATGGAAGCAGCACGATCGAACCCGTCAATCACCCCGCCAAGATTACGGTCTTCTTCGACAAGAAGCAAACACGTACATTCGATGTTTTGCCACTCATGAGGCTGATGCATCGTGCCCCAACGCTTTCATGCTATGTCTTGACGCTTGACTCCGGGCGTCAAGGCCGATCGCCTCAGCCGCCCTCTTGTGAAGGCCGGAGTATCCATGATGCCGTCTTTGCAGCTCAAGATTCGCTTCGAGCGCATCCTGACCCGGGATTTCTTTGGAGCCTAAATCGCATATCCTTTTCGCCCCGCGGCGTATTGGTCATTGGGGTCAATAAAAACCATGTCAAACACTGGATGAAGGACAACGATGAACAAAAATGGGTTGGTGCTGACTGGAATCGCAAGCGTGGGAAGGGGATAGACAAGAACGGTACGTGGGTGAAGGAAAGGCAGCGGCACACACGGGAGTACCTTGAAGCATCTGGGATGGATATTGAGCTGTTGGAGAAGTGGAAAGTGACTGTGGGTGAAGGGGCAGGTTAGATGTGTAAAGTGTATTCAGCCGTTGAAGCTGCTATAGGGAAGGATAATCTGTCTTCGAGTACAGCTTAGGATCAATATATTTGTCAATTTTGCAACACGACACAAGTTGCAATGGTTCGTGGGCATGTAAATGTGTTCGCGCAATCATGATATTATTGTTCTCTCATATTAAGCAGATCTCTCAAGATCTCAATCCCAGATCCAAAAACGCCTAGCTACCGAGCCAAATCCCAGTGGTATATGCGCATCCCATAAAGTCACTTTTGTTTTCCCTTTTCCGTTTCCCAAGTATTACATCCCCACATCTTCCCCGTGTTCAGCAAGCGAGGCGTCTAGTGGATGCCGTAGGTCTGCTCGTAAGCGTTGCTAACGCTCTTGTGGTGCTCAACAACCTTGTTCTTGAGGGCCCTCCACGCCTTCTGGTAGTTCCTTGGGCCAAGCTCAGCGGCCATCTCCTGCTCGCCAGTAGCAGCGCCCTTGCGAGGTGCCTCGCCGCTCTGCCTGGGGCTGGAAGCGAGGGATGAGCTGCGGGATGCGGAGGGAGAATTGCCGGGGCTGTAGTAGACGGCGAATGCAGAGTTCATTTCGCGGTGGTGCTGCTTGATGGCCTTCCATGCCTTGGCGGCGTTGGTGGGGTTGCGCTGAGTGGAGGAAGGGCCCGCCATGGAGGAGTTGCGGGAGGTTTGTGTGGAGGCTGATGGGGTAGTTGCGGAGGAGCCGGTGTAGTAGGTGTTGTAGGCAGCGTTGACGCTCTCGTGGTGAGCCTTTGCGTGTGCCGCAACGGAGGAGAGGAAGTTGGTCATTTTGATGGTGGTTGTTTGTGTTGTGGTGATGATCGATGTGAGGTAAATGCTCGAGGGTCGATCGATGAATTGATAGTAGTAGTTGCTTTGCTTGGAGGCTGTGGTATGCTTTGCTGTGTGATGCCTTCATCCTCACGTACCCACCCATCCCTTTATACTCCCCCAGCCCATCCCCAGAAACTTCTCTATGACACCCGCCAAGCATCACCGGCCACGCCCTGGGACCAAACCTTTGCCAAAATTTTACTCAGCACACTCTGCGCACGCCCTGCACATGTCGACGAAACGATCGTGAGATTTGAGGCCATGCGGCCGTCTGATTGGCTGCGGGCTGACAAACCCACAGAAGTCTTGTCAACGAACACCTTCACAGGGCGTGAGAGGGTCCGTGCCACCATCATCATGACAATGAGGTGCCCACGCCCTACCCTGGTGCGTCTTTTCCGAAGGCGCGCCGGAGCGTTTCCCGTCGGCGGCTAATTTTGGCAGGGCGCATGTGTGTGTAAAGGCGCGGTGACGAGTTTTCGGTCGTGTCCGTTAGCTGCTAGAAGACTGCCTTTGGAGGTATGGCGGGGAAAATCTCTGTTATTGGCTGCCACGCTCCGTCGCACCACGGCGTGTACCTGATCCACGCAGGCCCTTTCCCGCCCCCGAGTTGCCCGTCGGATGCCAAGTTTGCTTTGGTCCTTTTAGTCTAGACGCTGCTGTTGCACTGGGAGTGGATGTTTGTACGTAAAGACCGTGTTTTACCTTGAGCGCATGTCCGTTAACTGTTAGAGAAATGCCTTTGGAGGTTTGGCGACGAGAATTTTTTGTTCGGTGAGCGCTGGGGCGCGTGACGAAGGTGTGGATAGGGGGTGTGGTGTGACAGCAAGTGAGTGATTTTCCCGCAAGCTCACGATCGTGTTGCCAGATCTTTCTCGATGCCTCGAAGGGGTCATCTGACGACTATCGTGACTCCGAGTTTCGCGGTGTGCCACCAACGATAATTGCGGTCAACCCTACAGCGCCGCCCGCCAGCGTCTACCACTCAGCTCTTTCGTCATCAGCATGGAGCCATCGCAATCGCCAGCCTGAAGTATAGCCACCTTTTCTCTCAAGAATGGCCAACGGGCTACC